GGGTCCTCCAAGGTCCAGGCAGGGGCTTCAGGACTCGCGTTGGGGCCTGGGATGCTTCCAGGACCTGGAAAGGATAAAGGGGACCCCACAGCCACACGGAGAGGACACCCAATACCCCAGCAAGGTGTGGTGGCCGAGGGAATGACACCGTAGCTACTGTCCCCTGCCTGAGGTGGACCTCCACCTCTGCTTCATTCCATCCTCACACCCATGGGATCTCACACAGAGTACGCAGACTCACCCCATTTCCCAAGTGAGGAGACTGAATCGTGGAGGGTTCAGAGGGGTGCATTCGCTCATCCATGAACAGCTGGTAAATGACAGAGCTGACATTCATACCCAAGGCTGCAATCTAAGCCTCCCGTGCTATATTATATCAGATGCCAGGGATGTTTGCTTTTTTCTACAGAACTCCTGCAAAGCAGGATGGGGTCACGTTAAGAATGTGGACTGCCAGAGGGCAATGATGGAGAAGTTCTGGAGATGGGTGGTGGTGATGGTGGCACAACACTGTGAATGTAGGTAATAACACTGAATTGCACACTTAAACCCAGTTAGTATGTTCAACATTATTAAATATAAACATATATATTGAACACAAAGACATTTTAAGAAATGATCAGGTACCAGGCCATTAAAAAATTGGCAACAGTATTTTAAAAATAAATATCAAACAGACCACATTCTCTGAACATGGTAAGATTCAAGTAGAACTAATAAAAATATAAATCCCTCCCCACCTGCCAAAAAAATATAACATGAGCTGCTTAGGTTCAAATCCCTGCTCCCGCTCTTACCAGCTTTGTGACCCTGGGCAGGCTTCAGAGCCTCTCTGTGCCCATCTGTAAAATGTGAAACGCAGGGCACCTCCCTTGGGGCTTGTGTCCATGACTGAATGAACTCAAATCAGGGGCAGCACAGACCAGGGGGCAGCAAATCCTTCTGTAAAGCACCAGAATGTACATGTTTCTAGCTTTACAGGCATCTACCACAGCTGCCCAACTCTGTCCGTACAGTGCAAAAGCATCCACAGACAACAGAGACACAAACGGGCATGGCCATGTGCCAATAAAACTTTATTTACAAAAGCAACTCCTGGCATCACCCTGGCACTTGATAGGTGCTTGGCAAATGTCAACTGCTAGAATCAAGGAAAATGACATTCATTTCAATTCATTTCTGTAGACCAATGAGAAGTACAAAATCAATACTCATACCAAAGGCAAAGGCGGAGTCCTTGTCCCACTGGAGAGCAGCCCCTCCCCCTCTCTGACACCCCAGGGTGCTTCCACCGCCCTGACCCCTCTGAGGTTTTCAGGGCAATTTTGGGCCAGTGTGCTAATTCCCTCCGTGGCTACTCCCTGCAAGCACCCCTCTCCTTGCCACGCTAGAGGGGCTCCTAAGCCTTGCGCCGCACAGCATAGGGCTCCCAGGCCCCCTTCCTGTGGCCTGCCCCTCCCTGCGGGCCCTCAGCACCTGGGCTGTCCACCTGGCCTTGGAAAGGCATTAGCAAAGAAAACATTTTCTGAATGCATTCAGGGAAGCCCCACTGCTGGCCAGCCCTGGGGTCCTTTTCTGAGCCTCAGACTACAGCCACACCAATGGCCACTCTGTGATTTAAAGTAACCTGTTTCTATAAAAAGCACTGAAAAGGCTCTGCTGATTGAGTTCTCTCACCAGCCCCACAGGAAGGTCGGCTTTCTGTTCCCAGGATCAGTGTGCTGGGCTGAGCAACACCTAAGCTCTGAGCCCTGGTGAGTTCTGCCTCCACCTCCAGATGCAGCTGCCACTTGTCAGGTGCTCACGTGATCCTTACCCCAGAGCGGTGCTGTGCAGCTTAAATAAGATACTTCACAGCAGGAATGGGAGTTTAAGCAAGGGCAGCTATTTTCCTTATGCAAACATCATAGAGAAAGGAACTGAACACAGAACAGTTAAGTGACTTGCCCAAGGTCACACAGTCAGTAGGGTCTGAACTTGTCCTCGTTGCAGCTCCTCTGACCAGCTCTGCTCCTTCACAGCCCAGCTCACCTAGCAGGTGCCTGCCACTTATGATCATTAGTTCCACTAAGAGGCTTCCCAGGAACTGGGTGGAAATTACCGTCACTGCTTCACCCCAACCACTGAGCAAGACAGTCCACAGGAAAGAGGCACAGGGACTATGTGAACTACAAATTTGGAATCCCTGCTCACGTTCTTAGCACCTTGTGGATAAAGTGAAGGTTCCTGTGGCCAGGATTCTCACCTGGCCCTGGTCGGCTAGCTCACTACACATGTGCAGGCAATACATTGTTATTGACTCTATATAAAGAGCTCCGTCCAGTGCTCTGGGCGACACAGTGACATGGCTGCACGGCTACAGGAGAGCAGGGATGAGACTGGAGTGGTGGCAGCACCGAGGACAGAGACTGGGACGGCTGTAGGGGCAGAGAGGCCCAGAGGCAGAGACCGGCTTGCTGCATGCAGACTCGCTCTGAGTGGACAAGATTCTAGTGACTGACCTGCCACCTGCCAGTTGGGTATAACCCTTTCACCCCAAGAACGTTCTACTGTCCATAGTGAACTTGTCCAGGGCTGAAACCCACTGGCAAGACACACCTTCTTGAACAAGTTCGCACAATATGCATTAGCCAACACACAGCACCTGCTCCCGTCATCCTTCATTCCCACTTATTGAATATTTGGTTTATTGGCCTGACGTTAGCTAGGGAAGGACAAAGAAGGCCTCTAACTGGGGCCTTGGCTTCATGACCAAGCTAAAGAACCATTTTTTAACCACTTGCCACACATTCCTCATAATCATGACCACTTATTAAGTGCCTTCTGTGCCTGAGACCACTCCTCTGACCCCGACACCAAGCCAGAGGCCACTACCCCCATTTGTACAGGAAGTGGAAGCTCAGAGAGGTTAATCCTCTTGCCCAAGGTCACACCCCCATAAGGAATAGGACACAGCTGAGTCCTGCAAGTTGACCCAACCACTCCAGGGAGGAGACTGACCCAGGAGAACCAGAATATGGTTCCCAGTCTTTCTGGGGGAGGCACCCCCTCTTAGTTAGAAAGCCCAGGTGGGAGGCACTTGCCCAATCCCAGCTGAGTGAGGTCCCAAACAGGTGCTCAGGCAGTCTGGCTCCAGAGCCTGTGGAGAGGCGGAGCCCCGTCCTCAGGGCGTTAAATAGCCATAGCATGGAGTGGCTTCTGCTTCCCTCAGAAATGGTCCCTTCCTCCTCCTTTCCCCATCCCAAACCACCCACACATGAAGACCGCGGGCCTCCACCCTGCCTCCTCCTCATGGGGCCTTCTGGTTGGGCTGACAGGAGACTGTCATGCCTAACCCCTCTCGGTGCATGTCAGCAGGGTCTGTGCCAGTGTGACCACCACCCCAGGAAGATGCAGCCCTAATCAAAGCAGACCGCCTCTCAGGCCTCAGCGTCCCCCGTCTCTCATGAGCAAGGTCTGCTTAAGGAAACGCTGCACAAATATTATACCATGTGTGGGTATGAAGTTGTAGGATAGCACAGAGACGAGAGCCACACACTGTCCGACGGAGTCAGGGAACACACAAAGAGGGAACAGGACAGCTGGGCCTTATCATACAAATAGGAGTTCTCTGTCCAGGCAAGGGAGGGGAACAGTTCTGGCAGAAAACACAGCACGTGGGGAAAACCTAAATGTGAAGACATGTCTGGGGAACACAGAGGTGGCACATGTGGCTGAGACAGACACTGTGGTGGTGAGAGGGAGAGGGGGCCAAGGAAGCCAGAATGTGAGAAACTTGTGAGGTCACAGGAGTAGTAGAAGCAAGGACGGTTTGTGAGGAAGGAAAACAGCAATTTGTTGGGCCTACAGCCTGATCCTATGAAAAAAATCAACGTGAGCGTTACCCCCAGACGCAGGGGCAAAGATGTTCAGCATTACAGACCATATGCAAGAGTCTCAACAACAAAACTTTGCCACCATCCCTACGGCTCTGATGAGGTTTTCAGAGCAGCAGGTCTCCTGAGAGCTGACAGTGCCCCGCTAGGCAAATATCGTGGGTGGGGTGTCCTGGCCACCCCACCCCATCTCCAAACCTGCCCCGCATCCATATTCACCTGCGTTCATGGAAGTGCCACCCTGCCACCTGCCCAAGGTCCTGGAGGAAAAGCCAGGTCCCACAGTCTCACCCCACACGAGTGGGTCACCATGAGTTAAGGGGGAGTCCCCCCAGGACGGTTATATTTACTGAGGGTGGAGCCCTGCGCGAGCAGCTGAGGCTGCCCCTGCCCTCCCAGACCTCCTGGTCTGGTCTGAGAGGCAGAAGCCATCAAACAGTAGGGCAAGGTGTTTCATTCTGCCATACACTGACGCGCAGGCCGGGACAAGGGGCTCTCCCTGACCTTGGTCTAGAAGGAGTTGGCCAGCTGAAGGAAGGGCATTCCGGAAGAGGGAACAGCAAGAGCAACGGCCAGGGACAGTGAGCCTGTGGGTGTGGAAGAGTGGGGGTGGCACAGGAGGACCAGCGGTGAGACACACTATCTCTGGGGCTTAAAGAGCCAAAGAGCCGGGCAGAGGCTGGCGAAGAGCCCAGGCCGGCAAAATCGTCAGGAGGATAGACAAGGGTGTGTGGGGAGGGGAGGTGGTGGTGATGGCAGGTGGTGCTGGTGGCAAGGGTGCTTCTAAGGCGAAAGGCTGCAGCCTGGGATGAAGAGGCCGGATCCTCTGAGCCCGCAGGAAGGAGGGTGGAGTGATGGAGTGATGGAGCGAGGGTGCTGGGGCCAGAGCACAGCGCACTAACGCAGGCCCGAAAGGCCGCTGACCAGTACTCAGGGCACACTGCACGGTGCCGGGCCCCGCGGAAGTCAATCCATGTGCACCATTTCCCGAGATCGGGTGCGCCTAGGGCGCGCCTACCCGGCAGAAGGGTGGGTACCAGCCATTCTTTCCATCTTTCCAGCCTCCTCGCCGGCGCCCACGTGGGCGGAGCAGCGCCGGGGTGTACAGGGCAGGGGCCGCGGCAGCGTGTGCAGTGCGTGGGATGGGAGCGCCGGCAAGGCGGCCTCGCCCTCTCGGGCCCCTGCCACCGCGACGCACCCCGGGTCTCATCCTCTGTGCCACCTCGGCCGGGATCGAAGGACCCTGACCTACTCGCCGGGTAGGACAACGCAGGAACCTGACGGCCACGCCCCCCGAGCCACTCCCAAGAGGTGGTCGGTGGGTCCCCTCCCCCTCCTTGGCTCGGGGGCGTAATGGGGAGAGGAGTGGAAATAGAGGTGGCGTGAGGGAGAGAGCTGGGCTGGGGCGAAACGGGGAGGGGGCGTATAGAGGGAGGCGACGCAGAGTCCTGCTGGGAGACTTTGGAGGGGGATTTGGAGGGGGCTGGGGGATGGGAACGGCAGGGTGGAGGGGCCACTGAGGTGGTATACGGAGCGGCAGGGGTCCAGGAGGTTGAAGGAGGGGAAGGTGGGTGATGGGGCGGGGCGGCACCGTCACCGCGTCCCTTGCCGCCAGGTCCGCCCATCGGTCGCGGGGTCTGCGGGTCCCCTTTGGCCACCGCGCGCCTCCCGCCCCCCAGCGCACCTGTACCCACCTGCTCGGCGCTCAGGCCCGAGCCGGGCAGCAGCTGCGGGCGTAGCTAGCGCAGCCGCGCGCCGCATCCTCCGGCCGCCACCTCCCCGCCCCGAGCTTACGCTGCCGCCGCCCCCGCCTTAAAAAGGACAAAACGGAATAGAAAAAGGATGCATGCAAAATGATGCATGCAAATGAGGTAGACAGGAGAGGCTCGCACGGCTCCGCGGGGCAGGGGTCCAGGTGCAGCGGCGCGGGTGACTGTGCTCGGGGCAGCCGGCCGGCGCGTGCCGCAAGCTCCCGGCTGCAGGTCCCGCGGCCGCCCGGCGCCCGGCTCGCTGCGCGGCCCCGCCCCTCCCCCCAGGGTGCCCTTAGGATTGGCCCGTGCTCCTGCCAGTCAGGGAGGAGGGCACAGTGCTCGCCCCGCCCCCGCCCGGGGCCGAAGCCGGTAGCGGTTCGGCAGCCTAGAGAGGTGGTACGAGGAAGCCCGAGCGTGCGCACTGGGCCTCGCGGCCTGCTCCCGGGAGGGCTGGGGTCGGCTTGCTGAGCGCTCGGCCCCGCTCTGGGTCGAAGCTGCCCCAGGGAGGGATTTTCGGGCTCCACTTAGCGCCACGAGCGCCCAAAATCCGTACCTGCCCGCAGGGGCTGAACCCAGGTTTTGGGGGCTTGTACGTATAGCCTGGGACTGTAGCCATCGATGGTCAGGGAAGACACAAAGACCGTAAGTTCTATGTTTCCCCCTTAGTACAGTTGGAAATCTGAGGGTCGGAGATTAAAGGTGAATATTGCCGGCAACACAGCCAGCAAGTGGCAGAGCCAGAGTCTAACTGACCCCACAGCCGTCAACACCAGGCAAAACCCCATTACCAGACATTAATGGAATGAATGATGCTGAGGCTTGAAGGAAGGGTAGAAGTTAACCAGGCAAATATGCATAAATTCACTTTCATTCCACAAATACTTACTGAGCACCTATATGTACCAGGTAGCCATTAAGATCTAGGGTAGTACAGTGAACAACAGAGAAAGCCACTGCCCTTCTGGAGCTTCCATTCTAGCAAAATAAAAAAAAGCATCCACACAAAGGAAGCATTCACACGGCCCTGGTAACCCACATGATTAAAGGAAAATTTGACATCTGAGAATCTAAAAAAGAACAGATGTCTCTGGGCCACAGAGAGATGAGTGGGAAAGATGAGGATGGGAAGGTGGGCAGAGGCCAGTCCGTGTGAGATCTAGGCGATGGGAAAGAATTTGAAATTTATCCTGAGTCTGTAACCGAGGAAGGTGGTCTGTGTCCAGGACCGCTGTCAGATGCACAAGTTAGGATAAACTATGTTAAGCCCAGTAACAAACAACTCCAAAGTTTGTCTTACTTCTTGCCTGCACTACACATCCCATCTGGGCCAGCAGGGGGCCCTGCTACCGGGAGTCCATCAGGTGCCCAAGGTAATGGAGACTCTGTCTCAACCGTGTACCCCTAGTCACTCTGGCAGTATGAAGGAAAGGTAGCAAATTGTACTGGTTTTTAAAGCTTCCACTCAGAAGAGACATCACTTCCCCTCACAGTACATTTGCTGGCCCAAACAGGTGACATGGCCATGCCTAATTTGAAACAAGGAGGCATGCAGACCTCCTACACTCTAAGTGAGGGAGGCAAGAACTGGAATTTCTATGAACAGGTCTGAGACTCATTAGCACATACCCAGGCTGCCTGTGGGGCAGGGCCAGAGGAGGCAGGGGCAGACCAAGGAGGCAGGGTGAATGCAGCCTTGGGGACAGGGGAAACAGCATTCAGAGAGGGTCAGGCAGTAGAATTGGCAAGACTTGCTCAAAGCCTGGACACAGAGAAGAGAGAAGAGGCGACAGGGACAAGGTGTTTGGAATGGATCATGTCCCCCCAAAATGTGTTGAGGTCCTAAATCCTAGTACCTCAGAATGTGACCTGATCTGGAAATCCGGTTGCTACAGATACGAGTAGTTAAGATGAGGTTGTACTGGGCCTTAATCTATATGGCTGGTGTCCTTATAAAAAGGAGAGATTTAGACACAAAGACACTCACACAGGGAAGATGTGTGTGAACATGAAGGCAGAGATCAGGGTGGGGCTGCAACAGCAAGATGGCCAGCAAACCCCCAAATCCAGGTGAGAGGCCTGGAGCAGATCCTTCCCATAGCCTGCAGAGCGCTTCCAGAACTAGGAAACAATAGCTTCCAGATCGGGGAAACCTTACGTTTCTGTTGTTTAAGCTATTGAGTTTGGGATCGTTTGATACGTGTATGTCAGTTAAAGATTATATTTGGCTGTGAGTAATCAAAATGTCAACTATATAGTGGCTTAAACAAATAATAATAATTTTTTCCCACTCAACAAGAAACCCAAAGCTAAGCCAGCCCTTACTTCATTCTCTTCCACTCTTTCAATCCTCAGCATCCTCAGTAATTTTCTTCCTCATAGTAACTTCATGGTGGCAAGATGGCTGCCCTTCCCCCCAGCATCCCATCACTATTCCAGTCAAGAAGGGGAAAAGGCACACTCCAACTGAGTTGGCTCCCTTTAACCACTTTCCTGGAAACTCTTCCCAGGGGCCTCTGTTGTATCTTTGACCACAACAGTGTCACATGGCCACTCCTGGCATCAGAGGCAGCTGAGAAATTTAAAACAATAAATGTAAGGAGGGCACATTGCTGCCTGAAATAAAATCAGGATTCTATTAATTAGGACGAGGGGAGAATGGGTTTTGAGCAGGCAACTAGCAGTGGCAAATCCATCATAGGCCCTAGAGCTTCTTCTATACATGGGGGTGGGAGGGGGGGAGTTAAGAAAAAGAATAAAATATTATAAACATAAAATTAGATACAAAAGTGAATATTTATTAAAATAATTAAAAATTACAACAAATTTTCAGATGTTTCAGATATCACAAAAAATCCAGAAAGCATCAATTTAAAAATTGAATATAATATTTAAAATTATCCATCTTTCTAATGTCTTTTATAAGGTTTTTTTTTAGGTTTCTTCATCCTTTTGGACTATCTCTTCATAGAACAATGACTTTGTAATGTTTTTCCTATGGTGAAAATAGATAATTCAGAGTACTCCTCCAGTAATGGAGGGTTTTGTTTAATGTTGGTTAGAAAACTCTCTTTTAGTCTCGTAACTCATTATTGATAGTCATGTCCATTCTTAGGATTGTTGTCAAATTTGGGAAAACCTCTATATTCATTTGTAAATGAATACTATGATTTGGAGGAATTACTTTTTTTTTTCAGTTTATTATGATTGTATCCATTTAACAATAAAAGGTAACTACAAAGCCAACCCAGAAGATGGCTTATCCAGCACTCGCTAAACCTCAGCACCCCCCACAGGCATGTGGGGAGGCATGTGAAAATGCAGATGCCCAGGCTCCTCTGCATCCCACTGAAGTGGGGCCCTTAGTAACAGGGCCCAGGAATCGGTATTTGACTGAGTGGATGCCAGCTGATGCCTGAGAGATCCTGAATTAGGTGATTCCCAGCTTGCCTTACAACTCGGAAGGTCTGCAAACCCAGTTTCCCCTGCTTGAAGAATAACCGTTGGTGTCCCCTCCTCTACCCATATACTCCAGCACCAGGCACCATAGCACATGTTGCCATCTGGTGCCCCTGGCTTGGCACAGGGTGGGGAGGCACTCCTGGGAGCCATTCTGTCCACTCAGGGAGCAATAACTTGACCTATACAGACTGACTGAGAACCATATAAACATCTCCATGAACACCGATCAAGGCATCGTTGATTCAACTTCCCTTCAGCCACATCCCCCAAAAGCCCTTGGCCACCCAAGACCTCCCCAAATGAGAGGAAGCATGAGGCCAGGAAGCCAGAGGGACAGAGACAGCAGTTGTAGGCTGAAGTGTACTCCCCAAATTCATACGGTCAAGCCCTCACCTCCAGCGCCTCCGAATGTAGCTGTACTTGGAGATCCGCCTTTAAAGAGGTGACCAAGGCAGAATGAGGTTGAAGGGGTGGCCCTAATCTGATAGGACCGGTGTCCTTGAAAAAAGAGTTGATTGGGACACAGACACGCAGAGGGTGGACGATGTGAGGACACAGGGAGGGGACGGCGCCCACGTGCCAAGGTGAGGCTCGGAGAACCAACCTGCCCGCGCCTTGACCTCAGACTTGCAGCCTCCAGAATCGGGAGAAAAGGAGTTGCTGCGCCACCAAGTCTATGGTGCTTTGCCATGGCAGCCCGAGCAGCGGGCTTAACCGATTTCGCTTTAAAACTCCCTTTGGCACATTTTCCAGAACTGCATGGCCGCCTGAAGCCACAGCTCAGGCCCTCCCGGGCCTCGGAGGGATCAGCAGCTTCAGCTTCCTTAGCTTTGCAGCGAATCCCGCCTTCCTGCCGCCAGGCGGTCCCCGCACGCCGTCAGGACGACCGTCCAGGCTGGCGGCACCGTCCCTCCGCCCCGGGCGGGGTGCGGCAGGGCGGGAGCAGCGCCCTGCCTGGAAGAGGCGGGACCTACTCAGCGCAGCCTGCGGACAGGCGTTCTCGGGGGCGATGCCCTCCGTCTCCCCAGCAGCTGTGCCCGTCGTCCCGCGGCGGCCCGCGAGCGGGTGCTGGGGCGGGGCTCCCGCCGCCGGGGGGTGGGGGTGAGCC